GCAGATCTCACCTTGTGCCCATTCAACCAAAGTAGAATCATTTCTATTTTCGCTTCAACTGCTACTAACTGAATGGTTTGCTACTATGCAAGTTACATGGCGGGTCTTATCTGTAAAGTGTACACCTGGCGGAACCAAGGAATGGAGTTCGTCTGAGCACTTTCCATGGTAGTAGCCATAAAACAGTGAGAATCTCGCCATATAACGCCCGCGAGAGAATTTGGAGAAAGAAAATAATTTGTCACGCACAAGGACACGAAGACGCTTTAAATCCATCAACACTGAAAAGTGAGAAGCTCCTGCACGTATATGACAGTATTACTGCATTTTCGGCCTGATTTGGCTTTTGTAAAAGTAAAGGGTAACAGAGGATGTCACGTACTTATTGGAGCAGAACAGGAAGCCGTCTATTTTAATTTGTTAAAATAATAATTGTTACTTTATTTAACCACTTCCGCAGCGTAGACGTATGTATACGTTTTTACCTAAAGTATCCTTTTTTAGACACGGAAGAATAAATACGTTCAAAATATAACGTAAATATAAAAAAAATCAGCTAAAGACATGTTTATACGTTTATCTTGATTCTTTTTTATGTCCTTATGATCTTGAAATGAGTTCATTTATCAACTCATACATCTAGTAGAGGTGTTAGCCACCGCTTGGGTGTTTCAAGGTGCCTCAGTTTTTTTTAGTTACTGTATTAAAAACAAACAAAAAATGAGTCTAAAAATCGGCCATTTTTCCAAAAATAATTTGCGCGGAAGGCGTTAAACCCTTCGTCGTCTTCTTTTCATTCACGACTTTTTTCTTGATTATTTGAATTTAATTTCAACCTTTTCCTTTAACGCAACACTTACGAGGTTATATTTATGTTGGTGAAAGATAATTTATTTGTAGACGGATACAATTAATTGTCAGTTCCACCACAGACTATGCCTATATAACTGGAAATGAAGTGGATATTTATCATTGTAAAATACAGAAAATGTAGCTCAAAGCCTAAAATTCGGATGGAGAAGGACTGGTCTTCTCTGTCCTATGTATGAAACTAGCTAACAGCCAGAAAAAAACTACATCTATTTAGAAAAGACGTCATAACAATTGAGATATTATTCTGGAAACAAAACGCCTGTATACGGTTAGAAAAATAAATTGATTAGGAACACAAAAATAGAACGAGGACATAAGACAAGGATGTGCCGTCTCACCGGATTTATTTAACCTGTACAGTGGCTATCCGAAAATACCTGGAGGAGCCTATCGGGATTTATTATCAATGGGTGCAATTTGAACAAGGTGCGCAGATGACACTCTGTTGATGGCAGACACAGCTGGAAAACCAAAGAAACTCCGATACAACGTAGTAAAGGAAGGTGAGAAGAAAGGACTAAGCACCAAAGAAGACAGAATGTATGGTTGTAAGCAAGAGAAGATAAAAGTTTAGGAATTACGAAGGCGCATTGAAATAGCAAAAGACGCATTCCAAAACCTAAGTAAAGTATTAAAAAAGACAAAAATCTCAGACAGAGAAAATAGTGCTGTAATATATCAGCCCTCCTATATGGCAGTGAATACTGGACAATTTCCTCACATATGAAAAGGAGACTTGTGGCAACAGAAACAAAGGAAAGAGTGCTGAAATGCTATGTAATATCAATGGTCCTATATGGCACTGAATGCTGGACAATTTCCTCACATATGAAAAGGAGACTTGTGGCAATAGAAACAAAGGAAAGAGTTCTGAACTGCTATGTAATATCAATCCTCCTATATGGCAGTGGATGATGGACAATTTCTTCACATATGAAAAGGAGACTTGTGGCAATAGAAACAAAGAAAAGAGTGCTGAACTGCAATGTAATATCAATCCTCCTATATGGCAGTGGATGATGGACAATTTCTTCACAGTTGAAAAGGAGACTTGTGGCAACAGAAACAAAGGAAAGTGTGCTGAACTGCCATGTAATATCAATCCTCGTATATGGTAGTGAATGCTGGACAATTTCCTCACATATGAAAAGGAGACTGGTGGCAACAGAAACAAAGTAAAATCCTGTTGGACTGCTATGTCTTATCAATCCTCCTATATGGCAGTGAATGCTGGACAATTTCCTCACATATGAAAAAGGAGACTTGTGGCAACTGAAACCAAGAAAAGAGTGTTGGACTGCCTTATATTTTCAGACTTTATATATGGTAGTTAATACTGGACAATGGGTACGTGGCCGAGTGGTTAGAACGTTAGCATTCTGACAATGAGATACGGGTTCGAATCTCACCATATTGGCCTTGTTCAAATTGTTGATCACGCTAAATGACACGCTCTTTCTGTGAAGGCCTGGTCAGCATAGTTGCAGTGTAAACCAGGTGGGCTCTGTAGGTGTTGAGCAAGCGTCTGCAATGGGGATTGGCCCTAGTAGACGGGTATCCTCGAATACGAGTGGCCGCAAGCGTCTGCAGTAGGTATTGTCTAGCTGCCTTAATAGACGAGTATCCTCGAATACAAGTGGACAGCTATACATATATAGAATTCTGGACAATTTTCTCCCAGATGATGAGGCGTGAGTGCTAATGTGGTGCTATAGAATGATGCTGAGAACACCTTTGACGGGGAATATAATAAAGCAAGGGTAAAATTTAAAGGAAAATGGGGAAAAAATGAAAAAAAAAATAAAATAAGAAACTGTTGAAAATTTTAGGGCACATATTGAGGAAAGAAAGTTGGAAAATTTAACACTTTTAGATTATATTAAAAGCAAGAGAGAGGGGGAAAACAGCTAATAATATACTTAAAAAGGACAGAACAAGGAATGGGAAAGATATTTAAAAGACGCACATTGCCAAGCGTTACTTAGGATAGGAATCAGTGGAATGCCTGCATTGTCCACTTCCGGGAAGGTCACCTACATAAAAATGTTATTTACACAATGCCAGGTTACCTTGCAAGCAATTAATAATTGAGTCGACGTCTACGCTTCTGTATTCCTGACATAATAATTGCTATGAATTAATCATCTTTGCTTTTATCTTTTTACAACTGTTGCCTTTGAATGTTGCTGATCTAAAACTGCCTTTGACAGGCCTAAAAGGTCAAGCAATTCACATTGAAAAGGTTAGGTTCGTACCAGGGCTTGACTCGATGTTAAGCGTTTGTAATACATTGGCCAAAGATAAGAGATCTAAGAGAGAAGGAGAGAAAGAAAGAGTGAAAGGGTGAAATAGAGTACAAAGGTGAAAGGTGAAGAAAGAATAAAAGTCAACCTTAACCTAGCATCTCAACCAATTGTCTTCAAACCTGCTAATTTCTATATTGATTAAGCTTAGGGAAATGAAAGTTCCCAATGAGGATAAAATTCACACCAGTAGTATCAATGAGCCTAACTTCATATCGTCAATTTCACGGCTACATGCCATCATAGATTTTAGATTTTTGTTTTAGGGTTTTTAGGAGAAATAACAAAAAGACAAAATTTATTAAGAGCTACAAAGGACAGGAAATTGTGGAGAGCCATGATCGCCTACATTTAGAAGGAACGTGGTACATAAAGAAGAAAAATGAGTTTGAGTAAATGGATGGTGAAACAGCGTTTAGGAGAAATAACAAAAAAAAAAAATTTTGGAGCTACAAAGGACAGGAAATTGTGGAGAGCCATGATCGCCTACACCCAGAAGGAACATGGCGCGTAAAGAAGAAAAATCAGCTTGAGTAAATGGATGGTGGAACAGGGTTTAGGAGAAATAACAAAAAGAAAAAATATATTTTGAGCTACAAAGTGCAGGAAATTGTGGAGAGCCATGATCGCGAGTGGACACAGCACATCAAGAAAGAGAAGAAAATAATTAACATTAATATAATTAATATAATTTTTCTTTCGTGCACATTTTTTGTCCTCGATTTTCTGTCTGAGGAGCGAAGTACCAATCAAACCGGTCATCTTTTTTTAATCGTTATATTTCGATAAAATCAATTCATAGTAATATATCTGATTTTGTGGCCGAGTTTGTTAGGACGTTTGGTTTCTGGACATGAGGTCTGATTTCGAATCTTACCATAGTCAATTTGCCAGGAAGGTGACTTTTTGATGTTATCGGTCTGGACGAGGCGAAAAGCTTTCAAAATTTTCTGCAAAACATGTCATGGGTTGGCCCAAGCCTTAAGAGTGAAACTGTAGGTTCGCCCAAGCCTTGGGTGAAACTGTAGGTTGTCCCAAGCCTTGTGAGTGAAACTGTAGGTTGGCCCAAGTTTTGTGAGTGAAACTGTGGGTTGGCCCAAGTCTTGTGAGTAAAACTGTACGTTGGCCCAAGCCTTGTGAGTGAAACTGTAGGTTGGCCCAAGTTTTGTGAGTGAAACTGTGGGTTGGCCCAAGTCTTGTGAGTAAAACTCTAGGTTGGCCCAAGCCTTATGAGTGAAATTGGATTGACGGAACCCTTAGGAGTCGTCGATGACTGTGCTAGCACGAAGTCACAAGTCATTCCAGAATCTGAAAACCGAAATATATCCCGTTCCAAGGATTTCGGATAATTGATTCTCTACCTGTACTAGTATAATGAATAGTGTGTAAATGCTATTCTAGACGGTACAAAATTTACTAAACCGAAACATATTCTTAATTTCCAAATAATTACCCGGTAAAGGAATGGAATCATAACAACCTCAATACGTAACATGTGATACGTAACTCACGCTGCAAAAAAAAAAAAGCGTTTAAAAATGGTGGAAGTTCTTATTTAAAAAAAAAACGAAACAAAACAAAACAAGAAACCAACTGTTAATAACATGAATTATGAACCCAGCCGTAATGTACTGGTCGACCTTGTGTCATATTGTCCTTGAAGGGTGGAGAGATGCGATTAACTACTGGAACCAGTTCTTGTATCCGCTTTCTGAATTTACACCAAAAGAATTTCGCTATCGGGCTGAATTTGACTCAATTTTCTGACCGCTTTAAACTATTTAATACACGGATAGTGTAATCATATTTCGACTCAAAGTTCAAATGTTTCATTTCTGTAGTTCACATTCTTTTTCATTTATTTTTCTTTTTTTCCTGTTTCCTTTATAGTTTTTTTTTTTTTCATTTCTTTTCCTGTTTTATTTTTTAATTCTATTCTTTTTCATTTCTACTTCTTTTCTGTTTCATTTTTACTTCAATCTCTTTTTCATATCTTTTTTTTTAAAAGAAAATTGAACTAAAAATCTTTTTGAAGAATCTTAAACTAAAAATGAAACGGGAATTTTTTTTTTTCATTTCTTTTTTTTTTTTACTGTTTCGTTTTTTATTTCAGCCTCTTTTTCATTTCTTTTTCTTTTCTCCTGTTTTGTTTTGTTTTTATTTCAGCCACTTTTTCATTTATTTTTCTTTTTTCCTGTTTCATTCATTTTTTTACTTCAATTTCTTTTTCATTTCTTTTTTGTTCCTGTTTCGTTTTTTACTTCAATTTCTTTTTCATTTCTTTTTCTTTTTTCCTGTTTCGTTTTTTATTTCAACCTCTTTTTCATTTCTTTTTTTTGTTCCTGTTTCATTTTTTTACTTCAATTTCTTTTTTCATTTCTTTTTCTTTTTTCCTGTTTCGTTTTTTATTTCAGCCTCTTTTTCATTTCTTTTTTGTTCCTGTTTCATTTTTTACTTCAATTTCTTTTTCATTTCTTTTCCTTTTTTCCTGTTTTATTTCTTACTTAAATTTATTTTTCATTTCATTTTTTTGTTCCTGTTTCGTTTTATACTTCAATTTCTTTTTCACTATTTACATTATTCGATCTATTTTCCTCATCTTTGTTGCCATATTTATCGCAACGTTTCAGCCGTTGTAAGCTCCGGCCTTCTTTAGGTGTTGAAATGTTGAACTGAGCTCATATTGCAATTATTGCTTTTATCTGGCACTCCCTATTATTGGTTGCCATATTATATTCACTTCTATGCTTGGTCCGCTCAGAAGATTTTTGTGGCCTAACATATGTGCTGATTCCTTAAGTTTACGAATTTTCCAATGACGTTCTTTGTCTATGATCTCAACCTGATTCCACAGAAGGCGATGATCTCCCTTTACTCTCCATATGTCACGCCTAATTTTTCCACTTCCCCTCGTGTTACAGCTTTCTGATGTTCTTGAAGCCTTACCTTAAGAGGGCGGCCTGTCCACCCTTTATATTTCTTTCCGCAGCTGCACGGGATGGTGTACACACTGTCTTTAGTCATGTTCTCCTCTATGGGGGGGTCTTACTCGGAAGAGATATCTGCTAAGTGTCGTCCAGCTTTTGAAGGATGTCCTGATGTTATATGGACCACTTCACATAAAGCAGGCAGACTGTTTTCTGAGTGTTGTTATCCACCTATCCCAGTTTATTGATAAATATGGCAACAAAGATGAGGACAATAGTCCGAATAATGTAAATAGTGTACATTATACTTCATCTCAGAAATAAAAACTAATTTCTTTCTCATTTCTTTTTTTTTTTTTTTTCCTGTTTCATTTTTTAGTTCAATTTCTTTTTCTTTTTTCCTGTAATAAACCAAATTTACTTACTTAAATTTCTTTTCCATTCCTTTTTCTTTTTTCCTGTTTCGTTTTTTACTTCAATTTCTTTTTTTTTCTTTTTTCTTGTTTCGTTTTTTACTTCAATTACTTTTTCATTTCGTTTTTCTTTTTTCCTGTTCTGTTTTTAACTTCAATTTCTTAGTCATTTCATTTTTTCTTTTTTCTTGTTTCGTTTTTTACTTCAACTACTTTTTCATTTCGTTTTTCATTTTTCCTGTTCTGTTTTTTACTTCAGTCTCTTTTTCATTTCTTTTTTATTCTGTTTCAATTTTTAGTTCAATTTCTCTTTCTTTTTTCCTTGTTTCGATTTTGTAGTTTACACTCTTTTTCGTTTTTGTTGACTTGATGTATTTCTCGTTAATATTTGTTCATTTTCATCAGGGCCGCCATCCGAATGATTTCAATAGACGGCGGCGCTGCTTTTATCTCATTGGTGCTACGAGTAAGAATTTGCACACGAAAATTAGTTCAAAAAAATTTCTTCACACGGTTGAAGGGGAAATTAGTTTTTATAATGGTAACAGGCCTCTTAAGCTCCAACCCCTGTCGATGAGCCTGGTTTCTTTGTATTTCATGAAAATCGTAATGAAAACCCTGACTCGTGTAGTGTATAGTGGGTCAAGGTTTTTTTGTGTGAGGGGCATAATTATTGTGAAACGTAACCAAAACAGTGACACCATTTTAAAAGACTTAGCTAAATCCTCGGAATTTTAAAATTCGTCTTTTCTTTCTTTCATTCATTGTCTTTTCTTGCTTCTGTAACTCCTTGCTGTTTTTAAATATACACACATTTTTTTCTTGCCTTCTTTCTTTGTTTACTTCTTCGCTTTTTGGAAACAATTCAACTTTCGTTCTGTTCTTCTCGATAATGCTATGTTATATTGAAGTCAATATTTTTCTTAATACTCTCTTATATTGAAGTCAATATTTTTCTTAATACTCTCTTATATTGAAATCAATATTTTGTTAATACTGGTGTATATCATATTGAAGTCAATATTTTGTTAATACTGACTTATATCGTATTGAAATCAATATTTTTATTAATACGGATTTATCATATTGATGTCAATATTTTTGTTAATACTAACGTATATCATATTGAAGTCAATATTTTGTTAATACTTATATCGTATTGAAGTCAATATATTTGTTAATACTGACGTGTATAATATTGTAGTAATGTTTTGTTAACACTGACTTATATCATATTGAATCAATATTTTTGTCAATACTGACTTATATTGAAGACAATATTTTTGTTATTATTAATGTTTATCATATTGAAGTCAATATTTTGATAATGCGGACTTATATTAAAGATAGTATTTTGTTAATACTGACGTATATCATATTGAAGACAATATTTTTGTTAATATTGATGTTTATCGTATTGAAGTTAATATTTTGTTAATATTTATATCGTATTGAAGTCAATATATTTGTTAATACTGACGTGTATAATATTGTAGTAATGTTTTGTTAACACTGACTTATATCATATTGAATCAATATTTTTGTCAATACTGACTTATATTGAAGACAATATTTTTGTTATTATTAATGTTTATCATATTGAAGTCAATATTTTGTTAATACGGACTTATATTAAAGATAGTATTTTGTTAATACTGACGTATATCATATTGAAGACAATATTTTCGTTATTAATGATTATATCGGATTGAAATATGAAAAAAAAAAGAAATTAACCAAACCACAGAATCTACATCATTTGAGAATTTTCAAAAACAGGAACCAATAAAATGAACAGAAGGCTTACGGCCACATTAGGTTGAATTACCGGAGGGAAGAAAGAGAATAAAGAGAGAGGATGACGGCCACAATGTTCGGTTGCGAGCGGATACCGACTACTTGTTATGGTCTGGTTCCTTGTACCACGGTAATAGTCCAGGTATGGAATAACCCAGATATATTACAAACAGGAATATATACAGAGAAGTAGAAAAGTGTTAGTATGAACAATCAGGTTTAGTAGAGAGAACAATTTAGTCTCGACCAGTATCACTATTCCAATGTCTTGCAGTAATTGTCTGAACGCGATTCTGTTTCGGACTGCCTCTGACTCGACTCTTGACTCGACTTGAACTACTGACTCGAACGACTGACTTCTGAGGCGCAGTATTTATTAAATATGAAATAGTCCATTATTATTATTATTATGGGTAAGATCCCATAACACTACTACGACTACAGTTCCTTGTCTGTGATTCTGTAGCGACAGTCCACGAGGTTCGAAAGAGGATTGTCGTCCACAAAACTAACTGACTTCATTCGCTCGAAGTCATTTTAATGATTGATCTGAGAAAGCTGTTGCATAAATCTGGCAGTTTCGATATTTTCGAAAAGGGTTTGGCGCCCGTGCATAACATCCAAATGAAAGCCTCGATCTGACAAGGCTATTTTAGAACATGACTAGATTTCTAAAGGTTAATGTTTTGGTTTTGTAGTAATTGTCAAAGTAGAACGAAACTACCCCTAGCGCAGCCTATTCAATGTTCAGTTTCCTCATCACTCGTACTAAATGTGTTGTAACAGATCAATACACTGAGGTATTTGCAGTGTTTATTATTTACTTTCACTTAAAATAAAAGTCGGGGATAACAGCCATATCAATTTGAAAGGTCAATTCTCGTCCAAATAATAAACACTGCAAATACCTCAGTTACAACAAATTTAGTACAGGTGATGAGGAAACTGAATATAAAATAGACTGGTGTCGAGATCTCTTCAATTTACAGTTAAGCTGGCTAAACGTAGCCGCAAATTCTATGCTAATAGTTTCTTCTCTTGCTTGTGGAAGCCTTATTAAATTCATTTAATTTTATTAAACATTGACTTAATTCTTTAAATCCTTAATTCGGCATAAGCTATGTTTGTATATTACTGTGACAGACTTTCTAAAAAAGATGAAAAACACATTTTAAATAATTTGAAAGCTTTCTTTTAAAATAAAATGTCGGTTCTATTTGGATGATAATGGCCTAAAACTAATCCGAATTAAAAGAAAAATTAATTTCTTTATGTAAATAAAATCTTTAGGCATCACTGGCACGTTTTATCATCACTCAACGACTCATCGAACCGCCATTGTTTACGAAAAATGTAAACAACAAATTTAAAATTCTCTTTAAAATCCAATTTTTCCTCGAGATGTGTTTTGAAGTCTGTTAGTAAATTTAAGACGGATTTTCTAAAAGTAATCCTTACATTTTACTTAGAACAGAATAAAAATAACGTTTTATTGACACACGGTGAAAACTCCGTGGAATTTCCCCGCGTACACCTAGTTATTATTATTATTATTATTATTATTATTATTATTTTCTTTGATTTCTGGGACCTAAGATCAGAAATGGCATCATGACACTTTCCACTGACAAAAAAAAATATTACATAGATAAAGCCCTTCGTAATGTGTGGGCTGTACTTGTCAGAACAATTTTTTGTATCTCCTTGAGGCATGGACTTCCAGGAATCCCTTCAATTAGTCTACTGCAATCTTTTCCAACCAGTCCTAGGGCTCCAACTACAACAGGGAATGTTGATGTTCCCATATGCCACATTTTCGAGATTTCTATTTCAAGGTCCTTGTATTTTGACAACTTTTTGAATATCTTCAAAGATACATTGCAGTCAGCAGGGACTGCCATGTCAATAAGGAGGCACCGTTTTTGTTTGTGGTCTTTAATAACAATATCTGGCCGGTTGGCCTTGATTGTTCTGTCAGTGTGTATTGTGTAGTCCCATAGAATTGTAACAGGTCCTATCTCCGTAACCGGGTCTGGGTGGTGTTCATACCAGTACTGCTTTCTATCCTGTAGAGTCGGGTCCAAACTGGTCCTCAGGCCCTATATGAGAATTGTCATTGAAATGATAGCACTTTTCTTAGTATATGTGATGTTCCTAGTAGGGCGATCTTCTGGACAACTTGTATGCTGATGCTACCCGGGACACTTTTAGTAAAATTGTCCATTCCTTTTACTCACGGGACCCAGTGCTCCGATTACTATTGGTACAGTCTCAGTCTTCATTCCCCACGTCCTGTTAATCTCGATCTCCAAATCCTTGTATTTGGACAATTTCTCGATAATTTTCATGCAGGCGTTTCTCTCAGATGTCCTGCTATATCAATAAGCAGACACTCCCTGAATTTCTTGTCTTTTATGATAATAGCAGGTCTGTTGGCTTTTATTTCCCTGTCAGTTTGAATTAGCATGTCCCAGAGGATAGTTACACCGTTATATTATTATTAGTAGTAGTATTAGTATTATTATTTCCAGTTTCCACAATTCTTGAATCTCCAATTCTTTCCATCCTTAAGTGTTTGGGGACCACCACCTCCATGAAGTTACAATCTCACCGCCCTAAAATATTTGATTCCTACCTGCACTTCTTCCAATGTTCAATATTTGGTAGTTTCCACCCTTCTGTGAATCTTCATTTCCTCCACCTTTAAAGATTCAGGGGTAGCTACTCTTCTTTGAATTGCAAATTCTTTCGTTCTTAAATTTCTTACCCAAATCTCCAATTCTTTCACTCTTAAGTACTTGTGAAATAACCAATCTTTTTTTATTCCTCCAACCTTACATTCCTCCAACCTTACATTCCTCCAGCCTTACATTCCTCCAACCTTACATTCCTCCAGCCTTACATTCCTCCAACCTTACATTCCTCCAGCCTTACATACTGAAATGGCTTTACGTTTTTTCATCTCTAATTCCCCCACTCTTAAGCGTTTGTAACCCTCCAGTCTTCATTGCATCTTCCACCTTACCTTTTATGTATTTAGTTTTCCACTCTACGTTTAATTTTCCAGGTCCGCCATCCTTAGGTATTGGTGGGTGGGTCTATGGTCTTCTTTTAATATCTTACCATTTAAATTGTCAAGAATCTTCATCATTCCTGGAATTTGTAATTCTTGCTTCAGTTGCAGAAGCAAACTGCGTGTTTGAATTATTGTTTTGTTTTGTTTTTTCATGTATTCAAAAATATCTGTTCTTTGCCTCTCTTTCTCTCATGACCTCTCTGTGCATGCACACCCACACACGCACACACAGACACACGCACACACACATAGAAATGAATCTCACCAGCATGTCAATTCAGGATTTGGCTCTCCACAGCTTCTTTTTCTTTGTAACACTAAGCAAATTTGATTTTCTATTATTTTAGCATTTCTATACGTTTTGCATTGCCTTCTTTACGTACCGTGTCCCTTCAGGACGTGGTGGATCATGGCTCTCCACGTCATCTTTTCTTTATATCACTTAGCCACTTTGATTTTCTAATGTTCTAGCGTTCAAAAACGTTTTGCATTGTCTTCATTTTCTCCTTTTACGTTCCGTATCCCTTCAGAACGCGGATGGTGAGGGTCATGGCTCTCCACAACTTCCTTTACTTTATGATACTAAACAACTTTGATTTCCTAACTTCTGTTTCTTGTAGCGCTAATAACTTTTGATGTTTCTTTTTAGTTTTTCTAAATATTTTAAAGTTGATAAATATTCTTTATTCTCTTATGCACCATATTCCTCCAGGATTTGAGCGGTTAAGGCTCTCCACAACTTTCTATCCTGTGTAGCACTAAGCAACATTTGATTTTCTAGCTTTAGCTTTTTTAATAGGGCCATGTCATATTAAATCACAGGTTCTCGTTCGATCGCCGAAGTTAAGCATCGTCGAGATTTGTCAGTACCTAGATGGGTGACTGCTTGGGATGACCAGGTGCTGTAAGCTTGAATGTATGAGTGTATTGGATAACGGCTCAGAATGAGAAATCCGAAAGCCACCGAGTTCGAATTCCAGTCGGGTTTGTTATATTCGCTAGGAAATGTATGAACCCGCCTCTTCTTTTCAGCTATGAGTTAAGTAGTAGGAATTGTATAAGAAAATCATGATTATTTCCAAAAGAATCAAAAACTATGTTCTGGCTTTAAATAACCTGCAGTAGGTTGATAAACCCTAAAATAAAAAAAAAATCAATCAATTTAGTTCTAGACACCATGTCCCTTCAGGACGTAAGCAATAATACTCTCTACAACTTCTTATTCCGTGTTTCTGTAAGCAACGCTTGACTCTTACTCATTTTTGTATAGCCCGGTTCACACTCCTCCCCGCTTTTTGAACAGGACTAGAGGTTTACCTCTTGTTCGATTCTAAAGTTTCCCAGTAGCTTCTCGCGGCTTAATGGCATTATTGTCTTACTTGGAGTGAACTGATTGAACAAAAATATTAGGTAAATAATGATATGTTTTATTAGAAGCCATCGACGTGCATAGACGCACACACGCATATAGATTTACGATTCAGAAAGATCCTTTCCTTTAAGAAGGGCAAATGCAACATTAGTAGAATTTTAAATGAAGCGCATGTTTCCAAGCACAGTTGGGGCAGAAAGGGTTAAGCATATTAATAATGACCCTTGTGTATATCTTGTGCAGTGACTAATTTCTGTTTCTGGTTGCTTGGCCTTAATTAAGGAACTCTGTGAATGCACACTTCAAGAGGACTTGTGTTTGGCATCGATTCTCATCAGCAAACGGTGCCTGTCCTTGGCTAGGTCACTCTGCCCTCTTGCCGAACAAATAAATGGTTGATAAAGGCATATCACTCAGATTGAAAAGACCGATCACTTGATGATTGATAGAGTTTTCGAAACTAATTAGAATGGTTCACAAATACGAGAGAAAATATACGGCCAACATCAGGACGAAGGAGGTTTAATCAAAATTATTCGTTACATTGATTTTCATTAATTCCATAGGAGAAAAAAAAACACTTTTGGCAAAGTTTAACCTTCGTGCCTGAAAAAAAAATGGCGTGTCAAAAGGACGGATTTTCCCTGGACACCGCTATTATTTTAACTAACTTCACTCCCTCGGCAATGTTTATGGTTTTAAAAAGCTATGATGATTAGAATTGTAATAAAACCTAAACATATGAAAGTGAATTTATACCTTTATTTGTTCTTGAGAATTTACAACAAAAAATAATAAACACTATTTATTTATTTATTAGTCTGTTTATTTATACTATTTATTATTTTATTTATTGGAATGGTTGGCGAAACATTAGCTAATAGCTATAATACTTTTAGTGATACTTGTCTTATTAATTACTCCATAGATGGAGGGGGGGTGAGAAGAGGTGGTTTGCCCGTAAGTAAATATAACGAGCCAAACGGGAATTGGAACACGGTTTTCCGATTAACGATTCCGAGCCCTTATAGATTACACCATCCACACATTCAAGCTTACAGTGCGTGGTATTTCCAATCTAGGTACCAGGTTTGACGTTGCTTAGCTTTGGTGATCGTACGGAAACCAGTGTTTGAACGAGATGTGACCGTCAGCCAGAGAAAATGCCCACGTTAAAAAGGCCTTGTGCCACATGACACCCTCGTGGTGGTGGTGGGGGGTGACTGAATATCGTCAGCCAGAGAAAAAAAGAAGAAAATAGATAAAGTGTATATTCAGAAATTGGCAAACATGGATAAACGTGTCCGCAATAAAACGAAATATCAAAAGGACGGTTTTTCCCATGACACCGCTTTTATTTTTAACTCCCTCGGCAATGTTTATTATTTTAAAAAGCGATGATTAGAATTGGAATAAAACCTAAACATATCAAAGTGAATTTATACATTTTCTTTGTTCTTGAGAATTGACAACAAAAATAATAAACAGTATTTATTTATTAGATTGTTTATTCACATTATTTATATTAATTATTAGAATAGTTGACTAATTGCCACTCGATTCGAACTTTATAATGTAGTAATTAATAAGGATTTCGTTATAGTTGATTCACATACAGAGTGCGATGGATAAATTGTCATTTAAATTACGCTAAATGAAAATACTGACATCATATTTTAACAGATATATTTACCAAAATTACACAAGGATATCTTGATATGCTAAAGAGTAAATTTATTCAATAAAATCGCTATTGGCATCAACCACGGCCTCCGGACGACTTGGGAATCTCCTGAAACTGAAACTCTTCCGGGCGGCCTCCTTGTTTAAATTAGTGAATGCTGCCATAATCCTTGCCTTCAGTTCAACTTTCGTGTTACAACGAATTTTTGGTGACCTCTCGCTCAAATGCGCCGCACACATAATTATCAAAGTGGTTGCAGTATGGGGTGTTAGGTGGTCAGATGTAAGGGATGTTGTGGTCGCAGAAATTCTGACAGCCATGACTGGGTTCTCCTGCTTGTGTCGTATGGTGCAGAGTCCTGTTGCCATACAGAGTCTATTCCAACAGTCAGCCTCTTGACCAAAGGCAGCACTACCTCCTCATGGCACTTGATGTAGTCCTCCGTGATGAGTCTAAGGCCCTCACCCACAAATTTTGGAGTCCTTTTCTTATCAGAACAATCAAAGAGAGAATTCCGAGCTGCCATACATTCGTCATCACCATTAGACTTATCCAACTCTTTCCTAATCATCTGCACTGTCCTCAGATTGACACCCAAACACTCTAAAATGTTCGTATTAGAATGCCAAGAGGTACAGTTTGCTGTTTCCAAATTTCTGGCGGAGTGAATTGCTTTATGGTGCTCTTTTTCTCACATACGCTACCCAACTGACTCTATTATACTGTGCAGTCGATAAAATCAAAGACAAACAACGCGCATGCGCGAAATTAAAAATATAAAATGGCGACAATGTATCCATCGCACCCAGTATTTTAATAAATTAGTAAATGTTTCCAAATTTTTGAATTTTCATATTTCTTTCTTTATGAATTGGTAAATGATAAACATTGCATTGCATTTTGTTTTAATTCTCATTAATTTTTTTCGAATGTTATAAATATAAAACCATACTTTAAATAAACTATCTAATCAATAAATAGTGTTTTAATATATTTGTAGTAAATTCTCAAGAACAAAAAAAGTTTATAAATTAACTTTCATCATATGATTAGGTTCTATTACATTTCTACTTATCACTTTTTTCAAACAATATAAACTTTGCCGAGGAGTGAAGGTAGTTAAAATAATAGCAGTGTCAAGGGAAAAACCGTTCTTTGGACGCTCCTTTTTTGCATGTACGAAGATCCAAGTTTGTCAGACTTTTTAAAGAATTTATGTGTGTAGAAAGAAAGAAAGAAAGAAAGAAAGAAAGAAAGAACAACTTCATAATACCAATTCCTATAAAGACTTGGAACTCACCATGTAGAAACCTTTATCATGCCAAGTTAATTGTACAGAATATTCACAATTCTCTCACGGGGTAGCTAATAGCATTTGATTTGATTCCTGCAAAATGTTCACAACTTGGGTTACCTTCAAGACTCTCCCTCCTCATCCTCCTAAATTCAGCTGCCCACTTCTGCTCTGTTGATAAAGTTGGAGCATCATACCCTAATGTAGCAACATAGTCAGCATGAATGTCCTTGTGAGTTAAACCCTTGATGATACTACAATGCCAAATTTTGACCATTTTCAAGAGAAATCAGTACTAGTCATATTTAAAGTCTTCTTTGAACAGTCAGATGTCAGTTTACATAGAAAGAAACAATGCAGTTATTAATAAGAAGAATTGAAATTAACGCGTGCAAGGTTTCACAGCTCTAGCATGACGCCTTCATAGCCAGCCTATGAACTTTTCAGCCCACACTTGTGCCTGTGAAGAAATAATGCAGTTATTAATAAGAAAGGTAGAAATTATCGCATGCAAAGTTTCACGGCTCTAGCATGACGCCTTCATAGTCAGCCTATGAACTTTTCAGCCCACCCTTGTGCCTGTGAAGAAACAATGCAGTTATTAATAAGAAAAGTAGAATTTAACGCGTGCAAAGTTTCACGGCTCTAGCATCACTCCTTCATAGTCAGCCTATGAGCATTTCAGTCCACCCTCGTAACATTGAAAGAAAGAAACAATGCAGTTATTACTAGGAAGAGATGAAATTAAAGTATGCAATTTTTCACAGCACGAGAATCTTTCTTCATTGTCAGCCTATGAAGTGTTCAGCCATCCTCGTAGGATCAGAAAGAGACGGTTGAAATATCTCGGATATATAATGAGGAAAGAATGCTCGGCGCATTTGATACTCACAGGACATATTGAAGGCAATATGGGGTGAGGGATGCACTGAGTAACCTACCTTGCGAGCTTTTTCAAATGGATGGCAGCACACGAACTATAAGAGAACAAGTATTACTTTGTGCTTGAAATACAGGAAAACGCAGCGTGCCATCGCCGTACACATCATCAAGTTACACGGTACATAAAAGAAAAAGAAGCAGTTAAGTTCAATTTCGGATGTCAACGTACGCTGATGCCTTTACCATTTTTCGTGTCCTGCTGTGATGGCAGAAACCAATTAAATTGTGCTGATAAAGTTTATGATGGTTTTACGAGGTTAAGAGTTTTTGTAGCTTCATTTCCGTGTCTGCTATCAACAATGAGTCGTCTGTCTGGTTATTAAGGTTCTGGCCGACAATAATAAATCCTCGGACGACAGCTGCTAAGAAAATCGGTTCTCTATGTCAGGCGAGACAATTTTTCTATCCAGAATCTATCATAAATGTTTATGTCTACCATGCTTAAAATATTGCTGCCACATATCGTCTGGTGACCCTGCTATTTACCTTGAGCTCCTTGATAAGATCCAAAGAGGAATCAGTAATATTATTGGTCATTATATGGCGGCTCGGCTTCAGTCTCTTTTTTGCCACAGTAAGATTGCCTCCCTGTGTTTTTCCATAAATACTTTCATGGT